CCTCGCGCATGCGCGTTGCCGCCGGACTGGACAGCGCTGGGGGAGTCGGATGCCGGGAGGGAACCGCCGGGAGGGAACCGCCGGGAGGACAGAGCGCGCGCGGGTCCTTTGAAGGACCTTCTTCCTTCCCCTGGTCTCCTTCTTCCGGCGCGCAAGATCGCTGCAGGCCTAGGGATGGACCACTGGGCATCCAGCAGCCGGGCCTGTGGGGAGGGGGCGGGAAGGAAAACTCTGGCTGTGGAGGTAGATCAGCCCGCTCTCCATCGTGCATGCATCTGAAGCACCTCCCCTCCCTGGCAGTGGAGGAGCAGCCTGGCTAGCCGAGGCCCAGCTATCCTGTGAGAAGGACAGGGCTGGGGTGGAGATGTACTGGAAATATGGCTAAGGCCTGTAGGAACTTGGCAGAAACGTGGGTAGACTGTGGAGTCTGGTAGGCCTTTCCTAGAGAGCCCCCCTGGGCACCTTGCTACCTGTGATTTTGAGCAAGTCACCCTCTCTGAGCCTGTTTCATCGTAGGAGAAATAATGCTAACTTTGCAGAGCACTGTAAGGATTAAACAACGTATTTGAAGGGCCCAGTACCTACTTAAAGCTCAGTACACTATAGTTATTGATGGAAAGCTAGAACATGTTCAGTCTGGAATGAAGGGACAGTGCAGACTGTAGAAAGCTTGGAAAGATGGGCTTGAAAATGTTCTTCCTAAGCAGACGGGCCTCATCCTCCATTTCAGTGACTCTAGAGAGGCTCAGAAAAGTTCAACTGGGCAATCACTTATGATGAATGAACAAAAGGGAACTACATACTGAGTACCGACTAGGTACCAGTTCTATGAACTGAGAATTCAGCAGCAACAAGGCCCAGCTCTCTTGTGGAGCTTACAATCTAGTATGGGAGGCTGACCAAAAAATAAATAAATAGGTAGATACATAAATGAATGAATGAATGAAGAATGTGAGGTGGTTAGGGGTGCTATAAAGAAAAATTAAATGGACTCAGACTTGTGAGGGCTTATTTTCCATAGGAAGGTCAGAAAAGGGCTCTCTAAGAAGTTACCTGAGTGAAGTGACCCCACACAAAGATCTGGGGAAGAGCATTCTAGATGGAAGGAACAGCAAATACAAAGGCTCTAAGCGGGCAAGGGCTTTATGTTTAAGAAACAGCATGTATCCTACAAGGCTGGAATTATCTCTGTACATGGGTCTCCCAGACTATACTGTGATTTCCTTGAGGGCCTGCCATCCAGTATGTACTCAACAAATCCTCTTTTAACTGTACAGACATGTGTAAGATGAAGGTCGCAAAAGGGAAAACAGGAACTTGGCTCAAACTATGTGGGTAGCTGCTTGAAGGCCAGGGTCCAGGGAGGGCCTATGAGTACAATTTTGACCCTGCAGCTGAAAGGAGTAATGGCATGCAGTCTTGCAGAGAGACGGTCCTTCTCTTGGTCCCAAGGGAAAGGAGCCTCCTAGCCAAGCTGTTCTAATACCTCAAGGAGCAGTGAGAGCAGCCAGACACCCCCAGCCACCAGCCTGCTGCTGCAACCACAAAGGCCATTCTCCGCACTGCGCACAGACTGCAGCTGAGTCAGTTTCCCAGGAGGGAGAAATGGAGCCCACAGATTAGAGGACAAGAGAGGTCAAACCACCTGACTGCAAGCTCCCCAGCTTTGGCCCTGCCTGCCACAGTGAGACCCACCACTAAGGGGAAGACACAGCATTTAGTGCTGGCTTCAGTTCTCTTGCTGAAAGGACTTCACTTCGCTACTGTCAGAGGACCACTCCTGGGCACCCTATGACTGATGGGCATAACCACAGGAAAAGGCAGAAAGAGGCTTTGGAGACAGTGAGTTGCAGCTGAAATGTGATCGCCAGATCCTGTCACAGGCCACAATCCCAAGGAGTTGACTCCTGGCCGCTTGCCCCCTCCCTCCGCTGTTCCCTGCAGCCCAGCCAGAAGCCTGCAGCATTTGACAGGAGCTCTACCCCATTTGACTTCTGCCCTCACCTGATCTCTGGCTCCCTTGACCAGCTCACTGGTGCCTTCTGTTTCCCCTCATTCCCATCCAGGAACAGCTAGTCTCTGCTGGCTGTGACTTCTCTCTTTCCTAGCACATACAGGCTCTCCCGCTACAGTCACTCACCTAGAGTGACTCACCAACCCACTCCCGGTGCTTCTGGCTTACAGGCAAGTCCTTTGCCTTTTCCGTACTTACCTTTTCACAGCCAAGTCAGTTTAGAAATTTTCAAAAGTAGCCTTAGTCATAAACTGAAGCATTGTTCTTAAATGTAATCCCAGGACCAGCTGCATCAGCACCGCCTGGCAACTTGTTAGAAGTGCAAGTTCTCAGGCTTCATCCTCAGATCTACTAAATCAAAAACTCTGGGAGTGGGGTGCAATGCATTTTCACACATCCTCCAGGTTATTCTAATGCACATGAAAGCTTAAGAACCATTGAACTAAGAGAAAGCTCATTGCTTAAATTTTTACAAAGGATATAAGGAGCTAGGGAGGTATCAAAACAGGTGACATTTCACCTCTTAGATTTCTGCTACTGGGATGAGTTAGGATAGCCTCAGGGTTGGCACTGCTGATGTAAAGAGTCTGACACAATTGTGTCTTCCACTGTCCTCTCTTGCCAAGCATCGCCTGCAGCCCGAGATCCTTCATAAATTCTGGGATTCCCCCATCTCTTGGGAGAGACACTTCTTTCCTGTAAGTGCTGCCAACAGTCTTTTCCTTTAGGAGTTGGTGCAGGGCCACAGGCCTGGAGTCAGTGGTCTGAATTTCAGTCCTGACACTGCAGTATACCAACTGTGTAGCCTTGAGAGAGCCATTTAACCGCAACCAGGCTTAATTTCCTCATGTGTAACATAGCAATCATAATAGTAATTCCCAGTTAGGGTTATTGTGAGGATTAAAGGAGATTACGTACACAAAGCTCCTGGTTTAGCACACATTTAGCAAATGGTAGCTGTTACTATTATTACTCTCCTGCACATCATATCTTTCTGTGCCACTCTTATGTGGCTTTCTCCCTCTCAGTCTTTGGGGCCTTAGAAGTCCTGCTCTCACCTCTAACTCCCCCTTTCACTGATATACCTGGGTTTGCTGAAGCACAATCACTGCCCTGATGCTGCTCTTTTTTGAAGCCCCAAATCTTCTTCACCTGTTGCTCCCTGTTAATATCTGGCCTGAGTCCTGGCATACACTACCTAGTCTGGGAGAGCCCTGAGGCTCTCTAAGCCTCAGTTTCTTCAGCTGTGAAATAGGCATCATAACAGTACCACCTACAAGGGGTGCTGAGTGGATTAGATGAGATAATTCATGTTAAGTGTTTAGCACAGTGTCTGGCATGTAATAAGCATTCAAACAAAATTAGCTAGCATCATCTCTTCCCAACCATAGAAACCTAACAAATTCTTTTTTTTTTTTCCTGACCTCTTCTGACTAAAAACAAAGTTACTCAAAAGCTCTGGAACTCTTGGGAACACAGAGTACTAATTTCTGATCCTAGAAACTCATGATAGACATTTAATTTCTCACAGCAAGGAGAAGATGGTTCTGCTCTGATGTGAGCTGGAGCTCTATGGGGGTGGTCTAGCTCCATACTTGGGGAGCTCTAAGCAAAATGGGAAGTAGTCAGTACACACAAACCTGACAAAGGGCCTGGAAGCCATGTGAGAGGAGACACAATTAAAGCACCTATGGTATTTAGCCTGGAGAGAAAAAAAATTCAGGGAGGACATGGCATACTTCAAATCTCTCGAGGGCTGTTGTGTGGATGAGGGAGCTGACTTGCTCTCTAGCATCCCACAGGTAGACCCAACAGCTGGAAGCTACAGAAAGATAGATTTCCCCTCAACAGAAGTCCAACTTTCTAACAGAGCCATCCATACAAAACTGGAATAGACTGTTGGGTAGTGAGGTCCCCATCAGTGGAGGTATCCAAACAGGGCTGGGCATTTGCTTGGCAGAGCTATCCTAGCAGAATCAGGCACTGGAGGGTAGCTGGCAATGATAACTTTAACACCTTTTTGAACACTGATGTTCTATCATTCTTCAAACTAGAGGCCAATAACTATTCATTCCCTTTCTGACTCAGCTTTGCAATTATACACACCTCTGCGAGGCGCTCTGAGTCTCTTCTCCCCAACCTCACTCTCATATGATCCATTGCAAGAGGCCCCACTTCTTCCTGGGAGAGGGCATGAGAGGAGCATTTAACTAAACTATAGCAATTATGATGTTACCATGTCACAATACTTTCTCCATGTGTGATGGCCTGTTTTATGCTAGGCACTGGGGACACTGAAATGAGTGAGGTCTGGAAAACACAGGTGTTTCTATCAGATCCTGCCTTGTCTCTGGAAATGCCTTTTGGTCAGAGAATGACCAAGGACAAAGCAAATTTATCTGCCTGTTGATCTCATTGTGAAAGGATGCTGGCCTCCAGCCAGGTCTCTCCAACATAGAGGAACAGGCTCTCTGTTCCTAGGAAGGACATTACTCAGCAACCCTTCTCTCTCTGCATACAGCCTGAAAATGGTGTGGGCCGGATTGAGATGGGGTGATTGAGACTAGGGAGATAAAAGGCCATAGTCAATTGACTGCACTTCTATTTCATTGGCTAAGAACCCAGACTCCCATCCCAGACTGTCTGAATTCAAATACCAAGTCTACCACGCAACAGCTAGGTTGCCTTAACTTCTCTGTACCTCAACATTCTTAGTGGTAAAATGAAAGTATTAACTAGTACCCATTTGAAAGATAGGTCATGAAGATAAATGACAGTGTATCTAAAAAGTGCTTAGAATAATGCCTGACATATAGAAAGTACATAATATATGTTAGCTATCTATTATTATGTTCTAAAATAAATCATTCTACTGAGTACATCACAAAGAAACAATGGTATC